ACGTCCACTCTTAAACCATCATCTCACTGATCCAAGATAGCCAAAAACGCCATGTGTGTCCTGAGAGCCATCAGGAGATTCTTCCTTTAGAGAGAGAGGACTGCTTTATTTTGAAAATAACTTTCAAAACTTTCAGCAAAAACGGTTCTCCAGTACACAGTGATTACCATAGAGATTAACAGGTTTTGGACAGACAGGTGGACATGATTATATATGAAGAAAAAAGGACTTTAAGGTGCAAGATCGAGTTTTAGTTTTTGTTTTTCAACATCTTTGCAGGTGAGATACCGGGCTAGAAATGGCAGAATGGAATTCCGATAGGCCGAAGTGCGGCAAGGGATGTGGCGGAAGCATCGACGCATGGGGCGTAAGGATTTCGCAGCCATTAACTCATTATGAAGGGGATGGACGGTGTCATTCAGAATTCGGTCAGCGAATTGCTCCACCGAGTTGAAGTGTCGCTGCACGATGATATCAACTAAAAGATGATAGGAAACACCAGCAGCAGAGGCGAGCATTCGAATGACACGTTTAAAAATAATTAGATCTTTTTAAGTAAAGCTGGAAAAATAACTGGAGAACAATAAAGAATGAGTGGAAGAATACAGCCATCTATGAATCGCCAGATTAAGGACTGGGGTGTGTGATATGAACGTAGACGACGAATGTAATAAACAAGTTTTTGAATTTTTGTTAAAAGGGTTTCCATATGAAGAGAGAAAGAGAGATTTGAGGATAAAGTAACACCTAGGTACCGGAAAGAGGATACCTCATTGGGAAGAATATCCAAAGGTTCAGGAATGGGAGAGGGTCGCAATCGAAACACACACTGTACTGATTTCTGATTGTTGAGTAGGAGTCCATTATTCGAAGACCATGCGGAGACGTGATCTAAGCCATCCTTTAAAGACTGTAGGTGATTCAGGTTTTTGAGTGGGTGGCCTATGACCATGTCATCGGCATACTTAACATACAGGCAGTCGTTTGGCGATCTCAAATCATCAGTATGTAGGGAGAAAAGATGAGGGGATAAGATGGAACCTTGTAGAACTCCACAATCATTTGGAAGAATAGCAGATTTTCTCTTTCCCGACTGGACAAACTGAGTGCGGCAGGAAAAATAATCTCTAAGCCAAGAGACAACCCAGCTCGGAGTGTCGCACGCAGCTGCTTTGGTCAGGAGGAGTTGGCGCGGAATAGTGTTGAAGGCGGATGATTAGTCGAGAAAAGCGCATGCATATGCACGGCATCCCTTGTTTAAGTCTCTCAAAGCTGAATGAACAACTAAAGCAACAGCATCCAAGGTGCTACGCTTTGCCTTGTGTGCAAATTGTAGAGGATCAGAAAAATTGACGGAGGAGTACTTAAGGGAATCTAATGCAACTCGTTCAGTAAGTTTGAGGAGTGCAGAAGAGCAGGCAATAGGACGGAAAGATTTAGGAGCAAAAGTTAAAGATTTTTTAGGGATTGGAGTAATTCTTACTGTACGCCAGGCGTCAGGAATCTTGGACTCTATGAAGGATAGATTAATAAGGTGGGTCAAGACGGGAGCTATCTGCGAACAGCAAGACTTAAGGAGAAAAGGAGAGACACCGTCCAGCCCAGCCGCCGTTGACCCGCGAATCATTTTGAGATGTTGTTCCATTGTCTTCACAGTCACAGGAGTAAAGTCACATGGTGGTAGGTAAATTTCGTTTGGGCGAGAAGGGGAGTCGTTAGAAGTACAGATAAAATTCCGATTTAAAGTGTTTAAATCTACGTCAATGGGTTCAAGTATATTACGTTGACCAGTGAGACGCTTGAGATTCCTCCACAGTTCAGCAGAAGGAAAAGGAGAGGAGGGGGTGGATGAAGTAGAAAAAAGTTGACTAACGAATAAACCGTTAAGTCTGGCAATTTCGTTCTTTATTAAAACATTGATATCCTTCACCTTGTCACGCTGACCTAGTTTGTATAAGGCTTCTTTGCGACGCCTCAAGTGTTTGAGGTATGGTGAGGAGATTCTGTCAGGCCTGACCATAACAGTTTCACGGGGACAACAAATATCAAAAATGTGATTCAAAAATAGCGTAAGATAATTAGAGCATAATTCAGCATTTGGCAGTGCTAGAAAAGTTGGGATGGTACTAGTAATTGAACTCTGCAGTAAGTGGATCTTATCTACGGATGTGTCTCGAACAGTAATTTTCCTCTCGGGTTTTGTAAGCAGTTGACGCTTAGAGGTGGAATAGACTTTTGGAAGTCCTAGTAGCACTGAGTGATCAGACCCGGAGAGTGGAGCTCTATTTTTAATACAAAAAGCTTTGGGTAATTGGTCAAGATGTGATCAAGAGGGGCATCAGCCCGTGTATTGAATGAAACAAGATCATCAAAACCCAGAAGGGTAATGGACCGAAAACTCACACGGTTAAAATAGCCGCACAAAAGAATAAGATGGTCTGAGGATAATGAAGCAAGTTTTTGTGTGAGGAAGTCAAAAAACGGCCCAGAGAGCCTTCATTTGTGGAAGGCGGGATGTAAATACTGACAAATATAATACCCTTAAAGCTATTTAACAAATGGGGCTTACAGATAACAGCAATTACATCAATTAAATCAGCAGAATATGAAAACAGGGGCTTACAATTTATACACCAGTCTTGATTGACAAAAATGGCCACTCCTCCACCTCTACTGCCTGTTGGAGATGCTCTATCATTTCGAAAACAACGAAATGTCGAAGTAGTGATTAATTCCGAGTCAATATGGCTATTCAACCACGTCTCATGAAGGCAAATTACTCCTGTTTTGCCATGTTCTTTGGTTGACAGAAGTAATTCCAAATCATGGGCTTTGTTAAATATCGATCGACAGTTAGTCGATAGAAAACCCGGGATTGACAACTTGTTATTAGGCTGGAGTTTAAGCGCAACTTGCCATCCACAGCGATGTTGCTTTCGAAAAATTGGCCTTTGTTGATACGAGCGTGGGAAGGCCAGCGAGGAAGGACGAGAAACAGGACAAGTTGTCAGAGTGTAACTGCTGCTGGCACGGTGAGTTCGTTGCGTTTGGGAGCGTGAGAACGCCAACGCAGGACAATCGCAGAAACGACAAATTGGCCGCAAAGTGCAACCACTGGAGTCATGATCAGGAGGCGGAAAATCGATGCAGAAATTTCGCAGGGTTTAAGCTCCTTTAAAAAGGTGCTAGCGTACTGTGAAGACAACCTCATGGAAATAGATAAATTAAAACAAAGGAATAAGACTGGGGTATGCAATTAATAAATATTCATGTGACTGGAGGGAAAAAACGAAAGCATTTTGGTCAAGTTTTTCAAACATTTATCCGGCCGGTGTAAGAACGTTCCGTTCAGGCGTGACTCTCCCGGATGAATCAAGACCACACTGTCTTGGACAACGTTTAACGAACAGCGACCAAAACAGTCAGCAAACTGAAATGGCCACCTTATGAGAAACAACAGAAAGGCTTAATTTTGTTCTTTTTACAGAGAGGAAGTGATCATGGTCCGCAAACGCTTCAGGGGAGTAGACTATGTGCTTAAATGGGCTGATCACTTAGAACAGACACGAAGAACAAGTTTCTGAGGCCACCAATACAAGTTGAGGATAAAATGTACTAAATTTTAAGCACAAGCCAAAGTTTTCTCCCAGTCGGTGACTTGAGAAGGGTACAAACCACGTAATTCGGTTGTTCTGAAGGAAAACATGCAAACATTTAAATGAAGACTTGATGGCAATCTGTTTACTCAACAAGAACTGACACAATGTACCCGTATACCTGTGTGGACATACGAACATCTTTTTGTGCGCATGTCTATTGGTAGGGTTTTTAAAGGTTTTGCCCATCTCCTTTATATGTACTGAGTTATACTGAAAAGGGGGTGGTTCGGACACCAACTAGCTCGGCGTTGGCCTGAACTGGAATGTGCCGCTATGCACCCAATTACGGCATTTGTTATAAGTGCGCATTCCCGACAACGCCTGTCGGAATTCGATCCAGTCACCGTGCAGGTGCAACAAATATACGGCGTGGCCCACCAGAGGGACACGGCACGATGATTGTGATACGATCAGTGACCAGCGGTCATGAATCAAAATCTCAAGTGGTCCACACACGAGGATGTGTGTGATCGGCTAATACGGCTAAGAAGCTATAAATGGCCATTCCAGCCTCATTTGTTTCTGTCGGTATTCCATTAGTAGCAAATGCTACTAGTCACCACGTGATTTCGAGCTTGAGTGCCAAGGCAAAACGAGACGAGCATGCTTCGTGACCTGATCAGTGAGCACCACACTATCATGAATGGTCTTGCCTGCGAGAGAGTCGCGTTTGCGGACGACAACAATGTATGGCGAACGATCAACTTCAAAACAAATAAACGGACTCTCAAAAAGGCTCAAAACAAAAAGAATGGGCAGATGAAAATGGCCATTAATACTTTCTTTACGGACGATGCCTGTCAAGTGTAGGTGTAGCAGCCGCTCCAGCCCCCCTTTTCTCCGGCTCCGTTTTGTCGGTCGATGACCGCGATAAGCGCTGACAGGCCGCTGACGCACGACCACCCTCGCCGGCTAGAACTGGGACACCTCCGGTCCAGCTGCAGTGAACCCCGGCTGCACTCAAAAACTAGTATCGCCTAACGCGCGTCGAACGCTTTGGCTTGATTCCCGTGAGGCCTTGTGAGTATGCGCCCTCCATTCGTCCCCTAATTAGTCCAATCACACGACCACCACGCAGACAGTCACCCCCTCCTGCTAACTTAGACACACACACTCGGGTTAACAAGACACACCGCGACTGACGCCCTCTGCGAACGGACGCTTTTCTCTGTTGCAAGCAAACCGCCAACTTACGGCAACCTGCCCTGTGTACAGAATAAACTAGTCCTCACAGCTCCCTGCCTTCTGACAGTAGACGAA